TAGATCATGCGAGTGTTATAGGCGACCGAGATCACATTTTGATCTCGATCGTTATTATCACGCAAGAACTCGTTTCAATTCTGCATAGTATTCGAGCAATGTTTGCTAACGAGCTCGGCATTTGCGCGTAGAATAACGGAGCAAAATTATTCAGCGATGAATTTCAGAAATAAATGTAAATTTAAATGCCTGTTGAAAGCACTTATGAAAGTACACTAGGAAAATGAGAGCGATGTGAGTTAAGAGATATTACAAGAAGCTATTTTTAAACTTACAAGAGATGTTTCTATAATTTGTAATTTGCAATAATAGTAAAACCTGCGTTCTAACTATTGTTATACCAATTAATAAAGTTATTATTATTATTCTCACTATATTAATCATGTAAAAGTTATACATTTACCAACAAGTGTCTATTTTCTGTAACATCTTTCCTCTTATACTGTCTAGTATATGAGTCTACGTCATTTATGTCGAAATACCGAACATCTGAATCGCCTAGGGTATTATCGATGGGATTTTCCACGGTCTCTGTGTTATTATTCGGATTCTTCTTGATTCCGCTTTTCGCAGATATAATGCCGAGCGTCTGAGCAACCGATTGGGTCGAGTGAAGCGTTTCCTCAATTGGCGCGAATCCATCCCGGAGGGTTACTTTCCTAAATTGGTGGCCGGATCACTTAACATTTGGCCCGCTCGCCCCGCCAGCGCCGTTCTTAAAGATATCAACCGACCTGTGGATCAATTATACTTCGACATTCAAGACCTAGAAAGATGGCGTGATCGCATATATGAAGCCATACACACCGGCGTTTACATCAGCCCCTGCGGCGAGAGAAAGCCTTTAACCGAATTCGATGGCATAGACATGCTTGGTAACATCATAGAGGCGAGCATCCTTTCGCCCAACCAAAATATATACGGAGACCTTCACAATCTCTGTCACATGGCCATCTCTTGCTGCCACGATCCCGATCATCGCTACTTGGTAATAGGATACGCAATTGCTGGTATTAGTTGCAAAAAGTAAAATAAAAATTGCGAAAATTGTTACTAAAACTTGATTTTATAATGTTAATAATTTATAATTTTTTATATTAAATAACCCTTCCTTTAATCAAGCGCGTTAAAGCAATCGTTATTTTCTTCTACATTTTTTAATATAAAGTGATTTTAATCGAGAAAAAAATGCGTAATTTTTGAGCACGCCTCTATTTTTCACTTAAAAAAAATTTCATGCGAATAATCATGCTACATTGATATGATAAACGGAACGTTTTCTTTTTTCATGTTCCGACACGCAGGAACCTTTCAGTATCATGGGATCATCGGCCACCGCTATGAGAGATCCCATCTTCTACAGATTGCATGGTTTTATTGACCATGTATTCCTAGAACACAAGAATACACTTCCCGAGTACGACCTACAGCAGGTGGGTGTACACAGCTGTCTCGCTTACGCGATATATCATCGGTTCACTCTGGTATATAATGCCGCTAGGTACGCGTACCATGTGGTCCAGAATTACACGCAGCTACTTGACGATAAAAACATCCGTTAAACCGTTTAACTCGACGAGACTGCTGGATATGTTGGAATTTATCAATTTTTTTTACCATATGCCATGCAATCTCGTTAAATACTAACTCGACAAATGAGGCAATTTTCTTCCATATTCGCGAATAACACACAGGGTATCATCGAGCTTTTTCATCGCAATCTCTTCGAGGAAATCTTTAAAATTCGACATTTTATAGATACAAATTTAATCGACGTAATTATCATATTTTAATCAAATCTCACTAACAATCTTGTAGATTTCGATAGGATTTAACGTTGGATTTAAACAGTTTGGTAATTAAATGGCCGTTTAAATGTCGGAATAAAGCTCTTGAAATTTGAGAATCAATTTCACCACTTCTTTACATTCTTAAATTTTTTTTCGTTCTAAATTATTCTCATTTTTAAAGCGTCTTTTAATTAAGCTCCGGTTTAAATTAAAAAAAAAATTTTTTCCCGGAAATTTATCACGGTGTCTGACTGTAAAGCTGAAAGAGAATGACGGAATTTAATTGCCTTCTTTCGTTCGTTCGTGGGTTTCAGTTGAGCTTCCCCGGCGTAATAATCACAGACATAGCAGTGCAGACTCCGAATCAACCGGCAAATCAGATTTCGACTTTCTGGACCAAGAGCGACGTCGATCTATCTCGCGGTCTGGACTTTACGCCTCGTGGTCCCGTTCTTGCAAGATTCACCCATCTGAATCATACAGACTTTACATATAGAATCGTCGCCGACAATCGTAATAATGCACCGCGACGAGGAACTGTTCGTATATTCATCGCGCCCAAGCAAGACGAACGTGGATTGCCTTTTGTCTTTAGAGACCAGAAGGAGCTCATGATTGAGATGGACAAGTTCACTGTATTACGTAAGTCGCCTATTGTACAAATTTCATTGTTAACATTTTTCTTATTTTTAAATTTAATATCAGCCTATATCTAGAACAATGTCCCTTACGTTAATTCCAACGATTATAATATTAACTCCAATAATATTTTGGACATTGCAGTTTATTTTTTAATAGGAATTTTATTTTAGACTGTATATGTGAGAACACAACCAATAAAAACTAAAAATTAAATGCCTATGACGGTCAAGCTGGATCTTTGATGCTTAAATAATTTAATGTGAATTATATATGCACTATACATGTACATACATACATGCTTATATATACCATATGTAGTCATTTGAACTGCGCGCCGAATTGGTTTTCCGAACTTATAAACGCAATTAAACTACTGTAATAATATTACAAATTAAATTAAATTAAATTGATAAACAATTTTTAGTAATTTGATGCTCAATCAGGCGTCATATTGAAAAGATGTGCTGAAAAATTATAAATAAATTTATTGCGAAAAATATTACGTTGGCCGGGAGTCGAACCCGGATCTTTTGCTTTCCGTGCGAGCGAATTCATGATGCTTGATTGAGCATCAAATTATTAAAAATTGCTTGTCAATTTAATTTAATTTAATTTGTGATATTATTATCTACAGTAGTTTAATTGCGTTTATAAGTCCGAAAAACCAATTCGGTGAGCAGTTCGAATGACTATAAATATGGCATATGAGCATGTATATATATAGTATATATATAATTCATATTGAATTATTTAAGCAATGAGCTTCGTCTACAATAGTCGCACAGGCTGTGTCGCATGTCGTATGAAATGTCGCAGAAGTGTCACATGTAGGCTACGTTCCATTTAACGCTCACAACGCTCATGGAATCATTTCATCTTTGTCGTTTATCAAACGTTAAACAAGGATAAACGATGCTCGCGAGCGTTGCGAGCGTTAAGTGAAACGCAACTCTAGTTACATGATTGTTGCAGTCGCAAGAGCTCTTGTCATACGGAGTTGAGCCAACTTCAACTTTCTGCGACTGCGACAAGCGTGTCGCATGAGCCAATCACAACACAGCAAGTTGGCGTTTAGAATTTGTGGTCGAATTGCGTGCAAACAATCCTTGCGACTGTTGTAGACACTCATTTAGCGACACTCTTGCGACATGCGACAAATTCCTGCGACGCTACTCGCGACATGCTACACAGCCTGTGCGACTATTATAGAGACGACGCTTTAAAGATCCAGCTTTGATCGTCATAGACATTTAATTTCTAGTCATTTTTTTATGTAATGGTTGGAAAAAATAAAGAAAAAACGTATTAATTTCTGTCACTAATTCAATTTTACACTTACACACAATTCTTGAGATATAAATATATTTTTCTAATTTGAATGAAATCAAGTAAAAATAAAAGGCAGATGTATTACGTTATTTATGTTGTATTTCATAAAATTTTCGTTCGCATCCTCCTCTAGTGAAACCGGGAACAAATATCATCGAGCGTAAATCAACAGAGTCTTCGGTAACTATACCGTTCGAAAGTACGTTCCGCAATCTCGACGTGAACAAACCAATCGGCGGCGATAACCTGGAACAGTCCAACTTTTGCGGGTGCGGCTGGCCACAGTACATGCTAGTACCTAAGGGCAAGGAGGAGGGATTCCGGATGGACCTCTTCATCATGATATCCGATTACACCGGTGACGCGGTGAGTACTTTTTATACTTATCGAGCTCTCACGGCGCTTAAGAGCTTACAGGCTGCCAGGTGATGATGGAAACCTTCTACCCATCCCTTACACCTCTTTCTCCCCCTTTCTTTTTTCCACTCTTTTAACGACGACGTTCGAGTACACGAGAAGGTGTTCGTATCACTGCTTTCGGGCCAAAAAAAGGAAAGAAGGGGGGAGGGTGAAAGAAGAAAGAAAAGAAAAAGAGGACAACTCGCTAAAGGAATTGCTTTGCCGTTCTACGGCGACATGTACAGGTGGAACAGGACGAACCGACCGGATGCAAGGACGCGGCGAGCTTCTGCGGTCTACGGGATCGCAAGTATCCGGACGCGCGACCCATGGGCTTTCCATTCGATCGTAGAGTCCGTACTGACGTGCGAACCCTGTCCGACTTCTTGATCAGCAATATGGCAGTCACCCAGATTAACATTCTCCACACGGATACTATATTGCCGCGAATGCGATCCGAAAATATGAGCGACACTCTCACCAAATCCGCCAAATCCGATGATTGATCGACCAACCGAACGCGACAGACCGCTCTCGTGCACTTCCGCCGAGAATTCCAACGTCTCCATTCCTACCATGCATTCTTAGTAGTAATCCTGCAATATTCGTCGTAGAATCGCGACTGATTGCGTGGAAACGCGACACGGTTCTCATCCTAGTCCATATCCTTGGATGACAAACGCTGGAATGACGGCGATAGGACGGAAG